GCCATGTCATGATCTAAAGTCGCTGCTCCAATCCGTAGCGGTCTGAAACAGGAACAAAAACCATAAACAAGCTAATTGATTAAACTGCAACAATACATGCTACAAAACTGATAATTTACTTACGTGGGGGAAGTTGACCAACTTCTTACTTTTTCCCAGTCAGATTCACGGATATATACCAATGGGGCATCCGGTGATCTTTCTCCGGCTCGACGTATTAGCTCATCACGTAACTGTGGTGTGGACGTCTTCTTGGCTCGTGTTTTACTTTTTTTTTCAACTTTTTCAACTTTCACTTGAGAAGGATCAAAACCATCAACAAATGTATCTTGAGACAGTTTGTTCATATCTTGTGTACTCAATCCAAAATCAAAATCATTAGTTTCTAAAGCAATCTCTTTCCCGCCCTATTCATAAAACAGAACAACATATAAGAATACATTCAATCTAAACATATTACACAAGCATATAAAAAGCATGGATTTTTCATTACACAAACAAAGCATTACATTGATGATGTTTTTTAGTACACAAACAAAACCTTACACAAGAAGATTTTACAGAAACTAGTTCCATACCACAACAAATATCCGAAATTATACATAATAATACACAAGGAAAAAATGAGGTTCCACGAACAACCTAACTCCAAAAGCCTAGCTCCAGCACCCTAACTCAAGCATCCTAGTTCCACGTATATCAAGTTCTACACTTTCGCTTAGGTTGTACCTTTTTCTTTGGTGCAGCTTCATCGGATTTGGTCTTAGGTGGAGGATCAGCTTTGGTCTTCGGTGGAGGATCAGCTTTGGTCTTCGGTGGAGTATCAGCTTTGGTCTTAGGTGGTCTACTCGTCGATGGAGTGTGCTCAGCTCTGATCTGAGAAATCTCAATCTCTATCATCTCCATCCTCTCTGTAAAATCAGTATCCATCCTCGCTAGCTGCGTACTAAGTCTATCCCCCAAGGTCGCCACAGATGTGAGGACGAGAGTCTCTATGAAACGCTTTGTTTCAGGATCCAAACCCATCTTTTTCTCAGAAGCTCGCTTACACAGCAACTTTTTCTTTCTTGTCTCGGCTCCTTCATCATGAACCTTNTCATCTCCATCCTCTCTGTAAAATCAGTATCCATCCTCGCTAGCTGCGTACTAAGTCTATCCCCCAAGGTCGCCACAGATGTGAGGACGAGAGTCTCTATGAAACGCTTTGTTTCAGGATCCAAACCCATCTTTTTCTCAGAAGCTCGCTTACACAGCAACTTTTTCTTTCTTGTCTCGGCTCCTTCATCATGAACCTTCCTCTTCCCTTTTCCTGCACCATTAACTGAAGAGGTCTCCACATCTGGTAGCACATCAGCATCAACTTCAGTCTCATCAGATTCTGTGTGAATATCCTCTTTGTCAGCCTTCTCCATTCCAATCTCTTCAGGTTCTACAACGTTCCATTCTGTGTTGCTCCAATCAAACTTATCTCTGATCCTATCCAAAATAAGGTCCACTCGTTCATCTCGCATCTCACGCTTTCTTGTATAATCAGCATGCAGAGATACATCATCATTACCACTCAATGAGATGACGGAGTACAACTGACCCTGAAAAAAATTAAAACATCAAAAGCTATACACAAAAAATATATAGAAACCATAGAGAACACGAGAACAAATATACATACCGTCAGAGGAAACAAGTCCTCGATCTGAATGATGTCGTGATAAGAAACTTTAGCAGCTCCTTTCCAATTAGCACACCTTGGACCTATGAAGTTCTCAGCCACTCTTTTTCCTAATATTTCTCCAAAATCAGGAACTGCTTCCATAATCCATATCTGAAAAGCATAGCTGAAACCCTCGAAAATGTAGCTCTCCTTGTTTTCCAGCTTCTTCCTAGTCTTGGTAATGGAGCTAAGCAGGAAGTCATAGGAGTAAAGACCCCAAGGAAAGTTACGAACCTTGTCAAGGTCCATCACCAACTTGATGTACATATGAGGGATGTTGACCTTCTCATCTCTTCCCATCACAACACCCATGATCACACACAAGTAGATCAACCGCAGCCTATCAACCCGAGTCCAGTTGTGAACTTCTTGTAGATGTTTTTTCCTGATCGACTTTAAGGTGATCTTCCCACCACTCCTTAGTATGTTGCTCCAAAAGCCTCCATCGTATTTCCATTCAACTACCTCGCTTACATTGTCTTGAGATACCTTGAGGCCAGTGACAACATGATATTCCTGAAGTGAAAACCGGAGAGGCGTCCTTGCAAAGACAAACCACTTCTCATGCCTCTTCGAAGTAACAATCTCCTTACACAAGAAGCTATGCACCAGTTTAGCAGAAAATTTTAGCCGATTTCTCGCAATTTCCATCACATGTGTGAAAACAGGATCACTCTTCACAACACCATACTCTGAAGACATAGCATCATGTAGAAGGTCGAGAAGCTCCATCCGGCAGCTGTTGTTGATCTTCTTAACTTGAGGTTCCAAACCCTCTCCATACAAACGCTTGGGTAGCTCTAAATCCATACCTACAAAGGAAAAAAAGTTTGATTACGGTTCAATACATCAATTACAAAATTATAGAAATCAAATAAGTTAAGAAATTGTAAACAAACCAATTCATGAAGTAAATCAATTCACAAACGTAACTGGTTCATATAATCAGCAAAAGAGAAAGACATGCAAAAAAAGAACATGCAAAGAAGAACCGGATTGATGAACATGCAAAGAAGAAATAGAGAACAAGTGATGTCGATTGATGTCGCTTTACCTTAGTACAGATGTCGTTGGAAGAGGCAGTAGAGATTCAGAGAGAACAAGTCGATTGATGTCGGCGGAGAAAGAGATGCAGAGAGGCGGAGAGGCAGAGAGGCGGAGAGGCGGAGAGGCGGAGAGGCGGAGAGACGGAGAGACGGAGATGCGGAGAGGCGGAGAGGCGGAGAGGCGGAGAGACGGAGAGACGGAGAGACGGAGAGGCGGAGAGGCGGAGAGGCGGAGATGCGGAGAGAATCTCTGTCGCCGTCGAGAGGTGGAGAGGCGGAGAGACAGAGAGGCGGAGAGGCGGAGAGACGGAGAGACGGAGAGACGGAGAGGCGGAGATGCGGAGAGAATCTCTGTCGCCGTCGAGAGGTGGAGAGGATCTCTCTGTCGCCTTTGTTTTCTGGGAGAGTTCCCTTTACTAAATGGGAATTAGGGTTACGGTTACGGGGAGAGTTCCCTTTTTGTTTCTATTAATTTTTTTTTTAATTCAAAAACTAACATTTTATAAATTCTGTTTTAATTAAAATATTTAATTAGATTAATCTAGGGTTAGTTTTGGGATTATAGAAAAATATTATACTATAGGGACAAGATTGATGTTGGTTTATACTAAGGGGACATGAAACCTATTTTTTTGTTCTAAATTAGCATAATTCCCTATTTCTTTTGGCGTCAACGTTGACCTTTATTCAAAGTTATTTGGAGACTGGAGTCCCTGGTTCGATGTTCCACAGAGTAGATTATTGTTTTTGACATGGAGTCAAGTAATTGAAACGTTGTCGTTTAGTGGTTTCTGGTTGTTCGATTCTAGATCATCACAGTATCATAAACCCCAGAGGCGGACTTAGAAAATAAATTAACCTGTGGCACAATATATATAGATATTTTAAAAATATTAAATATAATTTATTTCATTAAATTATATATTTTTTCATAAAAATTACATTAGTCACTAAAAGTTTACATTTTATAATTTTCAGAAAATACATCATATAAATATAAGTAATTTTTATAGTTTTAAATATTCCATTTTAAGTAATAACTATATATGTCACACTATTTTTTACAAAAAATATTAACTTTATGTAAGTACTGAAAAATTAATAAAATAACTGTTAGAGTAAACTTAAAATGTTGTAAAAATTGAAATTTAAATTAATAATATTTTTATTTTGGAAAAAGTATTATTATAGAAAGGAAAAAAAAGAAAACAATTGTAAGAAAAAAGAAACATAATTGTAGGTAGCAAAATAAATGAGAAGAAATGTGATTAAAAGTGTAGAAAAAATTTAAAAGAAAGAAATAAAGAAGCTTTGTGGTTTTGAACCACGAGTTGGATGGGGCATAGCTCCATTGTTGAACCATCAGAGCCAATCAGGAGTATTTGTTCAATCATTCCCACAAGGTTTATATTATTTAGCATGTGGCACATGCCCAACCCTCTATGCATCTGGGTCCGCCCCTGATAAACCCTAGTTTTTTTTATTTCCAGCTAGAGAGATCTTGTCTTGTAATGTATTCTCTGATACTCCAAGGAAGGTCTTTCGAATTGCAAAAATGTATGCGTCATTTTAGAGCTTTGCAGAATGCGTTCTCTGCTTTCTCTAATAATCCCTTCTCCTCCGCCACTGCTGCTCCTGAAGTTGGTCGAAAAGGTCAGAACTTACAGTCTCTTACCTCGTTGATTCACTTGGTTTCACTTCTAAACTCGCTGAATCCATCTCCAAGAAAGTCAGCTCCGAGGCCCAAGGGTAAGGCCAATCCTGACTCTGTTCTGACTCTTCTTAAAAGCTACGGGTTCACAGATTCTCAGCTCTCAAGCATCGTTACGAGCTACCCACAAGTGCTAATAGCAGATGCTGAGAGTTGTCTTTCTCCTAAGTTTCAGTTTTTAAAGTCAAGAGGAGCTTCAACCTCTAAGATCTTGGGAAATAATAGCTCAGTGGAATTATCTCAAAAGTTCCCAAGATCTTGGGAGTGAAAAAGGACAAAGCTTTCAGCTTCTACTATTATTTCGTCAAAGAGGTTATAGAAGCTGACAAGTGTTCCATGAAGTTATTACCTCAATTTTTGTTTGATCCAAAAATGATGTGTTTGTAGAATCATAATAATAAAAGATTTAAGAACTGAATCTTTAAATCCTTGAGATTTAGAAGAAATCAAATGAAAACTAGAACATCAAATAGATTTTATTGATCACAGATTTATTACAAAATGATTTTCAATGTAAAGTGAATCTATAAATCTCTATAAGAAGTGCTCTAGGTTTTCAAAGAGGAAAAATGATCCTTTCTAAGAAGGAGTTAGCTCCTTATTTATAGAAAGATGAAGCCTAGGACTTTCTAGCAATATGGATCTAATTCATTGTCTAATGGGCCTTGATTGGAGGTTGAAATCCATCCCCAACAGTAAGTCCCCCAAGTTCGTAGAGAGAGACGACGTCGATCTCTGCGAACTTTACGAATAGGGTTTATTAAACAATGAACTAGACACATTCATGCATATGACGGTTTAGGCAAGTTTACTTTGAACTTGTGCCTAGTAAAAGGCGAGTTTGCTTTAAACTCATACTTAGTGAAAGACAAGCTTACG